GCTTCACCCCTGTAGGTGACCTTCGCTCAGGCTGGGCTCAGCCCCAGGGCAGCACCAGGAGATATCTGCACACAACAGCCCCAGCACAGCCACCTGCAAAGGCTGCGGTGTCACCAGCCCCAGGCGGGGTGGGAACACACGTGTGACAGCACATCCCATGTGCCACACGCCCCAGCAGGGCCCCAAGTCCCCTTCAGCCCCAAAAACACCACCTCAGCAGCAGAGTGGAGTTAATGGGGAGTCAGAGGAAACCAGCACTCCCCAAGTCACCTGGGGCTGCCAGGCCAGCACTGATCCCACCAAGCACAGGATCCCCCAGGGGACAGAGGGACACACTTCCCACCCAGCTCTGAGGCTCCCATGGCCTCCCACTCAGCAAATCCCACCCACAGGACCTCTCCCTCTCCCAGGCGCCCTGCGAGGTGCCCACGCCCCACTCCCACCCCAGCCCCACGCCGGTGTGCCCGTGCTGGAGCTGAGGCTTCCCCAGAGCCAGCGTGCTGCAGGCTCCCAGTGCACTCCAGCTGCCCCTGGGGAAACAACTACCTCACCCTGGCAGAAGATTCCACAGCCCCAGAGCTCACCAGGAGCACCAGAGCACATGGGAGTAGGTGGTACAAAAGAGGTGCCTCTCCAGCCCCTCTCCAAAATACAAATAAGGGGATAGAAAGAAATAAATATCAATAAATAAATGGATATAAAGGGATATGGATAATATAGTTCTTATTTATAAATATATTGGATAATATATTTATTAATACTAAATATATTACTTCATAAATATATTATAATATATATAATTTATATTATGTTATGTTATGTTATGTTATGTTATGTTATGTTATATTATATTATATTATATTATATTATATTATATTATATTATATTGCATTATTAATCGATAATTATTTATATTGTTTATAGAAATAAATAAATTGCTAAAAATAAATACATAAAAATATGTATACTTGTATATAGAATAAATAGATATATTTTTTAGATAAAAATAAGTTAATTAAATAAAAATAAATAGAAATAAATAAATGCCAAGCCCTTGGCCAGCAGGACAGGAGATGCTCTGAAGTACCCAGGAGCAAACTCAGTCCCTCACCAGGGCAAGGAACAGAGAACATTTTGACCTCATGTCTCCTTCAGGCAGATGCAGCCTGGCATAATGGCTGAGCAGAGACCCCAGCAGCATGGATTGAGAGACCCCCCCTCTCCCCCAGCTGGAGGGGCTGGGCTGTGCTTTCCAGGCCAGGGATCTCAGTGCTTGGAGGCATGGGGAGGAGCAGGAGCAGGAGTTCAGCTCCCTGCCAGCATCCCAGGCCAGAGCAGGGATGGGAGCATCTCGCTGCCAAAGCTGGGCATGGGCAGCAGGCAGGGAGGTGCCCACAGCCCCACAGGGCAGCAGGACGGGGGAGCTTGGCACCAGGCTCCAGCACAGTGAGCTGTGGCAAGAAATCCTCCCCAGCCAGGTCAGGCTCCAAGGAGCTGCAGGGCTGGGAAAGGGAATCCCCCAGTCCAAAGGGAATCCCCCAGTCCAAAGGGAATCCCCCAGTCCAAAGGGAATCCCCCGGTCCAAAGGGAATCCCCCAGTCCAAAGGGAATCCCCCGGTCCTGGGGCTCAGCCCAGAGCCCTCCCTGGCATCCCCCAGTCCTGGGGCTCAGCCCAGAGCCCTCCCTGGCATCCCCCGGTCCTGGGGTTCAGCCCTGAGCCCTCCCTGGCATCCCCCAGTCCTGGGGCTCGGCTCTGAGCCCTCCCTGGCATCCCCCGGATCTGGGGCTCAGCCCAGAGCCCTCCCTGGCATCCCCCAGTCCTGGGGCTCGGCTCTGAGCCCTCCCTGGCAGAGGGGGTACTGACTGCATGGCATCCATACGGAGAGAGCAGAGGGGCAGATTCCCAGCCAGAGGAGGCAGCCGCACCCCAGAGCAGTGCAGGGCTACCAGCACACGGCAGGGCAGCGCTGGGCTGGCTCCTGCCCTGCCCAGAGAGGGAAGGGGTGCCAGGCAGTGCCAGTCCTCTCCACCAAGGCAAAGTAAAATCCATCAGCAGTGGCCAGGGCGCAGAGGAACCCTGCACACTGATGATCTCCTGCAGCAGACCCCCGTGGCAGCTGTCCCCGCGATCCGGCACATCCCAAATCCGCCGGCTGTTTAAGCGGTGGCATGGCGTGTTGTGACAGCCTGCAGCAGCAAACAGCCCTGTGGGACCCGCGGGGCCAGCCCCAGCCCCAGCAGGAGCAGCAGCACAGCACGGCCGGGTTGGCACTGGATACCCTCACAGAGGGTATCGCCTTCCCTCCCCGGGGCCAGGAGCCATGTTTCTGACAGCTTTGTTTGGGCCTTCCTCCGCAGTTTTCTCCTGCCTCCAATTTCACTGCTGAGGCAGCAGCTGCCTCCGTCCTCGGACTGATTCTGGGGGGCCCTGAGTTCCTGAGGCTCCAGGGTGCTCAGCTAAATGCCCTGCCACGGGTGATGGGTGGGCACCAAACCCTCCCCAGGCTGCCCACGCTGCTTTGCTGCGGGCGCTGGCACATCCGGGGGTGCAGCCCTGCTCCACTTTTGAACATTTCCGCTGTAAAAGCCGACTGAGGGCTGGCTGAAGGCAGGCACGGAGCCCCCTGCACGCACACACCTGGGCCCAGCGCCCCCGGAGCCCAGCGTGGCCCCCAAAACTCCCTCCAGGCTGGGGAGCCCCGTCCCCCAGCTCTTGGAACACACAGCCCCGAGCCGCAGCAGGCTGCAGAGCCCCAGAGTGAAAGCAGAGCGTGGCTGGGCGGCTTCAGCCCGGCAGCAAAACACCCGCAGGATGGGCAGGGGCACTCTGCCATGGCTGAGCTGCCCTCAGCAGGTGCAAAGGCTGCAGAGGAAGGGGCTGGGTTTGCCAGCCCTGCACCCCGAGGGTAGAGCAGCCTCCTGAGATCTCTCCTTCCAGTACCAGGGCTGCCCCCGACCCTGCAGAGCACCCCAGGGCTGTGCCCAGCACCGGGATGGGCTGCTCCCCTCCCCCCTTCCCCTCCCCCTCCAGGACAGTCACATCCCGTGTCTTGGGCTGGAATCGATTGCCTTATCTCTCCCTGCAGGGCTGTAACAGCTGAGCAGAGCCAGGCCGATGGCTTTGATGCAGGAGCCAGTGGCACAGCAGAGGGCAGCAGGGGAGGGTGGGCAGCAGTACCCGGGCTGCACCTCCCTCTCCCCGCGGGAGCCCTTGGGCAGCACAGACACTTCGCACCTTTCCCCTGGATCCAAATCCACCCCAGAACAGCTGATGTGGAAGCGCTACAACTTCACTTCCTCGGTGAGTGACCCCAGCTGGTGCCAGACGCTTTGGGCTCACAGGAAGCATCCCAGCCGGCAGAGAGCCCCAGCCATGGGCACTGGAGATGCCAGGACCCTGGCAGGGCTGGAGCCCGGCTGATCCCACCTCCAGGCCTTGGCAGCTCAGTCACTTGGCCGGAGCAGCCCCGAGGGTGTAAGATGATGAGGGGAGGGGGACTCCGAGGAGGAGCTGGGAGTCCCTCCCCTGGCACCAGCCAGCCATGGGCTGTGTTGTGGGCCACAGAGCATCGCAGCAGGGGCGGCCACGAGAGCAGCAGAGCACTGGAGGTTGCAGAGTTTAAATAAACTTGAAATACGACTCAACTTCCTTCCCCAATTTCACAAGCTCCGTTTCCTGCGTCTCCTCAGCAGGCCAGGCATGCTCAGTGCCATGGCAGCCCTGGCACAGGGGATGCTGCTCCCTCTCAAACCAGCCAGCCAGTTTGGAGGTGCCCTCAGGGAGCAGCTCTGCAGCCAGCCAGGCCACTCAGGCCTCCAGGCAAGGAGTTTAATGGCTTCGGGGGTCGATAGATGCCATCAGCCCTTCCTGACACTGCAGAACTGCTGCGCTGAGCTCTGCTTCCTGAGACACAGCCCGTCCCACTGCCCACACCCGGAGGGGGCTGTGGGGAGAGGGGCTGCTGGGGGGCACAAGCCCCCCAGTTTCTGTGCCAAGCCTCCAACCAAGGAGGTTCTGTGCTCCTGGGCAGAGGGCAGGAGTGGGGAGCTGCTGCTCCGGCTGCATTGCAGCCACCCCTTTGAAGGTGACCTACAAGGAGGAGCAGCAGCTGCTGCCTGAGGAGCATCAGCCCCAGGTCCTGCTCAGCACCGCCGGGCAGGAGGCAGCTCCCTGCACCAGCCCAGCACGGCCTGGAGAGCCACAGCCCGGCTCCTCCCTGCCCCAGGAGACACAGTGACACTGAGAAAGAGACACAGTGACACTCAGGAGACACAGTGACACTCAGAACCTGCCCCAGGAGACACAGTGACACTCAGAACCTGCCCCAGGAAATACAGTGACATTCAGAACCAGCCCCAGGAAACACTGACATTCAGAACCAGCCTCAGGAGACACAGTGACACTCAGGAGACACAGTGACATTCACAAGTTACACTAAGGGGCAAGCAAAGGCAGACCCTCCTGGCAGGGAGAGTGAGAGCCAGGGCAGGACCCAGCCCTGCCCTTGCAACCACTGCAGGTCTGAGCTGCAGGTACAAGGTACAGGAACAAATCAGCCCCTGGGCCAGGAGGAGCTGCTGGGCCTGCATTTCCTTCTGCTGAGAGCAGCGCTGCCGCAGGTACCAGCCATTTCCCTCCCAGCACATGGGGAGCCACAGCTCAGCACCCAGGCTCTTTGGAGCCCAGTGCAAATGGGGCAGAGCAGGGTCTCAAGGAGAGGATGAGAGACTGTGAGGCTGGCAGGGAAACACCACACCATCTCTCCTGCCTTCTCCTGCCAGACCAAGGCAACCAGCAGGAACTGGGATGCACAGATCCAGCATCTCTGTTCAACTGTTCCTACTCCTCCCACCCCAAGGCTCTGTGGGACCACGGAGACGGGTCCTGATGGCTGTGACAGCAACACCAACCATCACTTCCCAGTGTCCTCGGCCCTTCCCCAGGTCCCACCTCCCTCCCACCAGCAGCACAGACACAGAGACCCCAAAGAAACAGCACAGCTGGCCCATTCATGTTATTATCAAGGGACAAAAGGGGAGCTTTGATCCGTGTCCTGCTGCATCCCAGAACCATTCAATCTCCTCTGTGCTCTGATGGCTGAGAGAGGTGGGATCGGGGGCAGGTTTACTTCAAGGGTCTTAGAGAATCCTGCAGCCTGGCTGCTCCACCGGCAGAGTGTCACCAGCACTGACAAAGGAAAACCTTGCTCTGCTCCAAGTCCAGGACAGGAGGGGATCCAGCCCCAGCCCCCCGGGGCTGCTGTGGCAGAAAAGGTGGGTGGTCTGCAGGGAGAGCAGTTCAGCCCTTGCACATTCAGCTCAGCATCAGAACCACCTTCCTGCACAGCATCATAACCCGATGGCTTTGTTTTGCAGCCTCCTCGCTCCCAGCCCTGCTCCTTTGTCCTCCCGACTCACCTCCAGCACCACATCCCCCCGTGTGCCCGGCTCTCACCAGCTGCTCTGAGCGGGATCTTGGCTCGCTCCCTCAAGGACGGGGTGCAGGAGGGTTGGAGCTCTCCCCCCTCCCTGGATCCTCACCGTGACCGCTCCAGCCCCACTGCAGTGCTGCATACCCCCGCCTCCTCCCCGCTGCGGTCCCCGAGCCAAGCAGCAGCCAGCCCGGGACCCCACTGCTGGAAGGGACCCAGGGATGAGGAGAGCCCCGCAGAAAGGACTCCACAGCCGCCATGCCACGGGGCACCCACCCCATCTCCGGCATGGTGTTCAAAGGCATCATCTCGAGAGAAATGCAGGATGGAGACGGGAAGAGTCTGGCCAGGAGGAAATCTCCACCCCCGTGGTCGGCATTAACTCGGCTCCCGGGTCAGTGTCCTGGCACAGGCGCTCTATCTTGGCACAGCCCCCCTGCCCCTGTGCAGCCACCCCAGCAGCAGCCGCAGCGGGGCTGCCGTCACTCCTGCAGCTCCCCCATCCTTCGCAGCCAAAGCCTGGCCTCGACCCTCGGCCTTTCCAGAGGAGAATGGCAAAAAATCCCCTCCGGCTGCTGCCAGGGCGAGCAGGATGGAGGGGCAGGGGGAGCTGGGAGGTGTCGCGGTGCACACACACGCGTGCACACGCACACACAGCCCCGCACATCGGCGTGCACACGCACACACAGCCCCACACCCACCCGCTCTCCCTCCATCACTGCCGCTGCACCAGCAGCATCTTTTGTGCTCCCGCTCCGACCAGGCAGGGCGCGGGCAGTGCCCCCCGAGCCCCGGCGCGTCCCCGCCGCCGCCAGCCCGCACTGCCCGCACCGCCGGGGGCACGGGGCGGGGAGGCACGGCGTGTCCGCCCGGCCGGGACGGGCTGCGGGGCCGGGCTCCCACGGGGTCCGACCCGCTCCACCGCCACCACGGGCCCGGCAGATGCGGCTGCCCCGGCACAGGCACGGGGCGAGCGCGGCCGGCCGGTGCCTTCCCCGCGGGACGGCGGCTCCGGCCGCGGCAGGTCCCGGGCCGGGCAGGGTCCCGCGCTGTCGCTCCGTGGGATTCGGATCCCCTCTCTCGGCAGGGACTCCTCCCTCCCGAGGGGCAGGAGCGGCAGAGCCCCGCCGCCGCGCACCGGGCCGGGCATGGCGCTCACAAAGACGAGGGTGACACAGGGGGTGTCACCCGCTCCCGCGGGGCTCGGCCTCGCCCGGCCCACGCCCCCCGAGCTCCCGCAGCCCCCCGAGCCCCGGCGGGCTCCGAGGCCGCCAGCAGCTCCTCCGTGAGGTGCGGGTCTGCAGGCGCATTGTTCCCAGCACAAAGGACACCGATACCGCATCGCTTCCCACCACCCGGGGGGGCGGGCAGGGAGCCCCCACAACGCCCGGCATCCTGGTGACACTTCGGACGGCCGAACCCGCCCCGCAGCAGGCGGGAGCCGCCCGGGCTGGGCGCCCGCCGGCTCGGCAGGTGGAGGAGCCGGGGGTCCCGGCCTCGCCCTCCGCCGGCCACGGGGGATGGCGGGCGGCGGGGGCGGCGGAGGGAGAGGGGGCAGACATCCCAAACGGTGCGGAGCGGAGGTGGGGAGGAGAGCGGCGGGGCCGAGGGGGTGCGGCAGAGACCGGCCCGGCGAGGTCTCACTGCCCCGGGGCGGGGGTCGGAGCCGGGCGGGCACCCAGCGACCCCCGCCTCGCAGCGCAGCGGCTGCGCCCGCCCCGCCCGTCGGTACCGGAGCCGGGCGCACCGAGCTCCGCGAGGCGTGGCCCGGCCCGCGGGAAGCGCCGATCCCGCACTCACCTCACGGCCACCTTCACGCAGCTGTCCGGGGCCGCCATGGCCCCGCGCGGCGCCGCCGCCGCTGCCCCGGAGCATCCGCGGGCCGGGAGGGCGGGGCCGGGGCGGGGCCGGGGCGGGGCCGCGCCAGGTGCGGGGCGGGGCCCGGCCGGGACACGCCCCCAGGGCCGGACCGCGAGCACGCAGCGGGAGCGGCGGGAGCCGGGACACGGACACGGACACGGACAGGGACAGGGATGGGACACACGGACAGGGACACACGGACACGGGCAGGGATGGGACACACGGACACGGACACACGGACACGGACACACGGACACGGACAGGAACACGGACACGGGCAGGGACAGGGATGGGACACATGGACACACGGACATGGACAGGGACACGGACACGGACAGGGATGGGACACATGGACACACGGACATGGACAGGGATACACGGACAGGGACAGGGACGGGGATGGGACACACGGACAGGGACACACGGACACGGGCAGGGATGGGACACACGGACACACGGACACGGACACACGGACACGGACACGGACAGGAACACGGACACGGGCAGGGACAGGGATGGGACACATGGACACACGGACATGGACAGGGACAGGGACACGGACAGGGATGGGACACACGGACACACGGACAGGGACACACGGACACGGACAGGGATGGGACACACGGACAGGGACACACGGACACGGGCAGGGATGGGACACACGGACACACGGACAGGAACATGGACACGGGCAGGGACAGGGATGGGACACATGGACACACGGACATGGACAGGGACACGGACAGGGATGGGACACACGGGGACACGGACACGGACAGGAACACGGACACGGACACGGATGGGACACACGGGGACACGGACACGGACAGGGACACGGACACGGACAGGAACACGGACACGGACACGGATGGGACACACGGGGACACGGACACGGACAGGAACACGGACACGGGCAGGGACAGGGATGGGACACATGGACACACGGACACGGACAGGGACAGGGATGGGACACATGGAAACACGGACATGGACAGGGACACGGACACGGACAGGGACAGGGATGGGACACATGGACACACGGACATGGACAGGGACACGGACACGGACAGGGATGGGACACACGGACACACGGACAGGGACAGGGATACACGGACAGGGACAGGGACAGGGACAGGGACAGGGATGGGACACACGGACAGGGATGGGACACACGGACACACGGACACGGACAGGGACACACAGACATGGACAGGGACAGGGACAGGGACAGGGATGGGACACATGGACACACGGACATGGACAGGGACACGGACACGGACAGGGATGGGACACACGGACACACGGACACGGACAGGGATACACGGACAGGGACAGGGACAGGGATGGGACACACGGACACGGACAGGGATGGGACACACAGACAGGGATGGGACAAACAGACACAGGAATACAGGGACGCAAGGACAGGGATAAGGACACACGGACACACAGACACATGGACAGAGACACACAAACAGACATATGGACACAGGGACAGGGACACAGACACAGACACACAGATAGGGACACAGACACAGGAACACAGACACATGGACATGAACACATGAACACACAGGGACACACAGACAGGAACACACGGACACGTGGACAGGGACACAAGGAAATAGGGACACGGGCACATGGACACACGGACAGGGATACGGACAGGGACACACGGACACGGACACACAGACAGGGACTCACGGACAGGGACACAGGCACAGACACACGGACACAGCTCACATTCACACTCACACTCGTCAGCCCCTGCTGCCCTCTGCCGGGTCAGGGCCCCGCTGCCGCCTGCGCCGCTGCGGGATGTACCGGGCTGTACCGGGGCTGTACCGGCTGTGCCAGCGCTACTCCGGGATGTACCGGGGCTGTGCCAGCGCTTCCCCGGGCTGTACCGGGCTGTGACAGTCTGCCCTGGGCTATACCGGGGCTGTACCGGGCTGTACCGGCTGTGCCAGCGCTTTCCCGGGATGTACCGGGCTGTACCGGGGATGCACCAGGGTGTGCCAGCGCTTTCCCGGGATGTACCGGGGATATACCGGGCTGCACCGCGTGTCTCCACAGGGTTGGCACCACTCCGACGCCTCCTTGGTTCCACTGGATGCTGTCCCCTCTGGTGCTGAGGGGTGACACCACGGAGCAGCAGGATACAGGGCAGGGCAGGGCTGAGCTCAGTGCTCCTGGCAGAGCCACCGGGACTGGGGCCTGGCAGCCCTTTGGGCTGTCCAAGGCTGTGGCATGAGGACGTGGCATGCCAGGACGGTGTCCCGATGCCAGAACAGCTCCGCAGCATGCACAGCCCGTGCTGCAGGGCTGGGCAGAGCGCAGCACAGGGCAGTGCCCCCGAGCTGTGCCCAAGGGCCACTGGCTCCATCCTCGGAGCTGGTCTCGCAGGCTGGTGAGGGAAACACATCCAGAGGCCATCAGAGGGCAGGGCTGGAGACAGGCAGTGCTGGGGAGCTGGAGCAGCCCCTGCTCTGGCTTTCCTGAGTTGCACTCACGTTGCTGGGGCTGAAGGCAGCCGGACACAGGCAGGCCCTGGCTCTGCAGGGGAAAGCATCTTCCAGCAGGGGTGGGACCTACAGGGGGCTGCCAGCTCTGCTGTCACTGTCAGGGAGAACAGCAACGGAGCACAAGGGCAAACTGAGGCACTCAGAGGTTTCTTTTGAGGAGTCCAGGCTGTATCCTGGGAGAGGGATAGCCAGGACATGCCAGCACTGGTGGCTAGCAGCTGGTGGCCATGGCTAGTGAGGCAGTGCTGTGCCCAGCACAGAGCCCAGCACCTGCCCTCTGCTCTGCAGTCTGGGTCCCTTCACCCCATGCCTGTGTTTGCCCCTCCCAAGGTGCCAGGACCACGGGCCATGTGTGCACAGGACTCTGCACCCTGCAGGAGCTCCTCAGCTCTGCTGGCATGGGTCAGTCCCAGGACACTGCATGCTGGTACAAAATCATGGCTCAGCAGGACCTGGCCTGTCTGGCTTCCTGCAAGGCTGTCAGGAGCTGGTATTCCTCTTTCTTTGTCCCACATTTGCAAGGACGCCTGGTGCACGGTGCAGGTCCCACCCTGAGCTGCTGGCTCTCCTGAGGCTGGACTCTTCCCCACTGAAGCTCCAGGCAGAGAGGGGCAGTGACTGTGCCATGATGTTTCTCTCTTCCTACTCCCACCCACATGTCAGCTGTACCACAGATCACACCTGTCCCCAGTTCAGCTAGGATCAGCCTAAGAAAGACACACCACACACAAACCTCAGAGCAAATCATGCTCTGCGCATTCCCAGAGAGCAGCAGAGGTGCAGGGCCCCCAACACGGTGCTATTGTTCCCACCACAGTGTCACCTGTTTAGAGTCCCCAGTGACCACCCCCGTGTCTTGGCAATGATACATACAGTGCTGCATCTCCCTAAACCCACCAGGAGACCACGACCACTCACCCCAGGGTGTCCTTGACACCCCCTGGCAGAGCAGCTGCCAGAGTAGAACTGCAGCCCCATGCACCCCCACCAGTGTGTGTGTGAGGGTGTGAGGGTATGTGTGTGGGTGTGAGGGAGTGTGTGTGAGGGTGTGTGAGGGTGTGTCTGTGTGTGAGGGTGCCTGTGTGAGGGTGTGTGTGTGTGTCTGTGTGTGTGTCTGTGTGAGGGTGCGAGTGTGAGGGTGCGTGTGTGTGTGTCTGTGTCTGTGTGTGTGTGTGTGTGTCTGTGTGTGTGTCTGTGTGAGGGTGCGAGTGTGAGGGTGCGTGTGTGTGTGTGTGTGTGTGTGTGTGTGTCTGTGTGTGTGTCTGTGTGAGGGTGCGAGTGTCAAAGGAGCACGAGGAAGGGCTGCCCGGTTTCCCCCACGCCATGCGTCTCTGCTGGCTGCCTGCTGTGGGAAGCTGTGCTGCCACGGGCAGGCACCAGACAGGCTCTGTGCTCGGGCTGCAGCTGGAGCTCAGGCAGTTCCCTTCCCCGAGTCAATAAAAGCCATGCTGGAGAGCAGGCTGGCTCATTGATCGCCTCCTCCCCTGGGACCCATCCACTCTCTGCATTTTAATATCTATTAGGTGATCAAGAGCCCCCCAGTTCCCAGTTAGGCCGGGCTGGGGGCTCTGGGGAGCCAGACCCCACTGAAGAGCTCAGCTGGCAGATGGGGCTGCCCCAGAGCTCAGCACCCTGATCCCATGGGGGCCCTGTGAGCAGCCCAGAGAGGAACAGCCTCGGCTGCTGCTCAGCACCAGCACAGCAGTGCTGGGAGCATGGCAGGAACAGCTCCACACCCTCCTGCCCGTGCCCCCTGAGCTGTGGGACGGATGCCATGGGCTGAATGAACCTTCCCAGGGACTGGGATGGATGCCTGACCCCCAGAGCGCAGTGTGGAGAGAGCGGGAGGGGCAGAAATGGCATCACAGTGTCCAGCTCTGCTCTTGGCCAGCCACAGGGCTCCTGCCCCGGCCTTAACATGCTTTCACACCTCTGCCCAGCCCCAGTTTCACACACAGTTGGGACAGGGAGCCCAAGAAGCCCAAGAAGGCCCCAGGCCCCATTCTGCTGGCCAGCCCCTGGCACATCTCCTCCCAGGCCAGAGTTAGCTGCAGGCAGGAGGCTGGAGGCTCCAGCAGAGACACAAGGGTGCAGGGTCCAGCTGCTGGGATTTCAGGAGATCCCCAGAGCCTGGCAACTTCAACAAGACTGGACTGGAGACTGCCAGGTGAACCACTGCCAGCTCTGGTTACACATGGTGTCGCATTTGCAACCCCTCTCCTGGCTGTGCAGGCAGGGTGGCAGAGGAAGGACAGGAGGGGCACCCAGAGTCACACAGCAGGAACACTTTAATGACCTGTCCAGCTCTTGCAAAGCCCCGCTGGAACAGCATTGTCCTGTTCTGCACCAGCATCCCAGAGACCTGTCCCAAAAGTAACACCACAGCTGGCCAGAGTACCTCAGGACCCCGGGCAGAAGCAGGAACGGCGTGGCTCTGCTCCTGCACCCCTGGGACAGAGCCCTGGGCACTGCAGTGGGCAGCTCAGAGGCGAGTGGCAGCGATGC